AGGAGGCAGTTGCTTTTATTTTCAGTTAAAGTGGGGATTTTCTTAAGAAAAAGAATAACAAGACCACAGGCCCGCCCCAGATGTCCAACAAGAATGCACAGATAACTTCTTACATCCACTTTCCCGAACCTGCCCCTGACAGCCAAGTGCAGCACCACAGAAATGAACCCCAAAACTACTGTGCTGTGGCATAACCCCGGCTCAGGATGGCAGTGCTGTGTGAGTCCATGTATGTTCTAAAGCAGGCAAAGCTATTCTGTAGTGAAAATGGATCGGGACAGCGGTTGCCTCTGCTGTATGTGGGCAGAGACGGACTGGGAGGGGCATGAGGGATGAAGTTACGGTTTAGATCATGACCGGAGTTCAGATCACACAGGGTTGTGCACCTGTTAAAACTCATCACACACTACACTTAAGGTTAAGCCTTTCACAGTTTATGAATATTGCCTTAAAAACAACGATGACTGCAAATTAATATTGAACTTTGTTTAGTGATATGCCAATGTGAAGTAGAGTGATATCTCAACTTTACTTTAAAATGCATCCAAAAGCAGACCAGAGGACCACATCTGACAGACAGATGGATAGATTTGTGATAAGGTGAATGTAGGAAAATGCTAACATAAAGATGTTTGCCTTTCAGATTTTCTATACATTTATAAATCTTAATAATAAAATTTTAGGACAAAAAGTTAGTGCTTTGAAGACCTAAGTCATAGGGCCTGCCGCTCCTGATGCAGTAGAATTTTTCTTCAGATTTGCAAGAAGTAGAGCAAACCACTAGCATTTTGTATGGAACTTGATGCAAACACTTTTAATTATCTGATTTTCAAATGTATAGCACTAAATTAATATTAACTCTTTCTTTGAATAAACTGCAAAAATACCTAGTCTTAAATACATGTTTTATGTAATTCTTAAAGTACAATGTATTCCTTTTTTTCTTCTTTCTTTTCTGATTTGATAAATATTCTGTAGAGTAACTGCGTTTAATGGCCAGCATTTGAGTAAGTCCATATGCAGATGCAAACTTCTCAGTTTAGACAATATGTAGTGACTGACATCCCCTTACACGGGTCCGGATGCACGTTATGTTCCTGTCGCATTTTCAGTAGTTAATTTTAATATTTATTCAGTCTTCAAAGCATTTCTGGGAGGTTGTCTTAGTTAATTTTATGTTGCTATAACAATATCACAGACTGGGTAATTTTTTTTGTTTGTTTGTTTTTTTGAGACAGAGTCTGTCTCTTGCCCAGGCTTGTGTGCAGTGGTGCGACCTTGGCTCACTGCAACCTTCATCTCCCGGGTTCAAGTAATTCTCCTGCCTCAGCCTCCTGAGTAGCTGGGATTACAGGCATGTGCCACCATGCCCAGCTAATTTTTTTTTTTTTTTTTTTTTTGTATTTTTAGTGGAGATAGGTTTCACCATGTTGGCCAGACTGGTCTTGAACTCCTGACCTCAAGTGATCTGCCCACCTCAGCCTCCCAAAGTGCTGGGATTACAGGCGTGAGCCACCTCGCCTGGCCCCAGACTGGGTAATTTATAAAGAAAATAAATGTATTTGGCTCATGGTTCTGGTGACTGGGAAGTCCAAGGGTACGGCATTGGCATCTGCTTGGCAGCTGGTGAGGGCCTTCATGCTGTGTAGTCTATGGTGGAAGGTCAAGAGAGCATGTGTGTGAGGTGCTGGGGAAGAGAAAAAGGGGGTTTGACTAACCCTTTTATCAAGGCCCCACTCCCATGATAGCTAATCCACCCTTACAATAATGGCATTAATCCATTCCTGAGGACACAGATCTCATGACCTAATTATAATACCTCTCAAAGGTTCCACCTCTCAACACCGTTACATTGGTGATTACGTTTCCAATAAATGCACCTTGGAAAAAACATTCAAACCACAACAGAGGTCGATGTTATTATCTCTGTTTTTACATTTGAGGAAAGCATGGCACAGAGAGCTTGGAGACGTACTTCAAAGTTACACGATGAGGAAGTAGCTAAACAAAAACCTTATCTTGGATTCATTAAAAACCTCTTGCTCTTTGCAATTTTTTTCTTAAATCTACCTAATTTGTGACTGTAATTTTTAAATAATTTATTCATATACGTGGTCTCAACATTAAGTTTTCTCCTTGCTTCATATTTCTAATATGAGATATTCGGTAGAAGGATGGAACCAAGGTCATACCTTGTTTTAACCAGGAAACCTAGTCCAAGTCCTTCTGACCTTCATTGTAGATTTCACCTAAAGGCTGCTGTCTCCTTTTGGGTATGTGATGGGCAAAAGCCACAGAAGAAACCACCTTACCTGTTCTCTTTCAATACTTTAGTAATTAACCCAGGATAGTGTTCAAGATTAACTTGCCTTACGTTGAATCAAACGGTATGTCAACTGCCTTCTCATTCTCAAGAATAGACATGTTGGGTAATTGGGCATGTAAGTTTCTTTGCAATTTTTTGCCGTTATTAACAAAATTAATGAACAACATTCTACATAAGGTCTGTTTCCTCAAAGGAAGTTCTCCAAAGTGGAATCATCCATGATGTAGAATTTAAGCATATGTATTTCTTTACACAAATTGTCCAGTTGCTTCCCAAAATGTTTTGTGAATTAAGATTTACATCAAGAATATGTAATGTTGTTACCGTCTCCAGAATACAGGATCTTTTTCTGAATATAAAAGCTACTCGTGCTAATTGTAAACAACGAAGGGTCATTATCTTAATTGATAACCACGTGCTTCTAGGCTTGTGCTTTCATTCATTTATTCAAAAAGTGCTAAATAAACCCTGAAGGGGCTTTCAGGGGGTCACGCGGGGCTAATTTAGCCCTTTTTGAATAAATGAATAAAAGCACAAGTACAGTATTTTAAAAATATTGTTTTCTCTAATAGATTGATCTTAAATGGCATATTTTCCTTTATTTTATGGACGAAAGTTACTCTTTGATTTAATAATAAAAATTATTTGGTTCAGCTGAGAGAAACTTGCTAGCTGACGTCCTTGATTACTTAAAATGAAAGCAGCTGCCTATTTTCATCCTTCCACATCCTGAAGCAGCTCTTCTGCGGTGTGCTTCAGCCCCAGGCTCTCGTTGACCCTGTTCACCTGTTTGGCATAAGGGGCCCAACCAAACTTGCGGCTACCTGGACCACAGCTGATGAGATGGAATGGGAGTTAGAGGACATAGTCTGTCAGCTGGGAAAGCAGCTTTTATTCCGAGGTGTGCCAACCGGAAGGCCACGTGTTATTGTCGCAACCCTGTACCTCCATCAGTGCTGACATCTTTAAGGACTTTAGAACCGGGGACTGAGTGTAGCGCTATCTGCGTGTGTAGCAGACAACCATACAACTGTTCCAACTTGTGGCTGCATTCAGAGCAACTTCATGTCCCCCATACTCCTGGGGTCAGCAGACCGGAGACGCTGGGTCAATCCAGAGTTATGGTTGGAAAAATGATGGAATAATTCTGCCCCCGGAGATAGGAGAGAGGGACTCCATCTTGTGAACTGTCATGGTTCCCAGGTGTAAGTTCTCATTACCGCTGAAATTGAATGAGAACACAGAAGGGACAGGGAAATCCCCGCAGAGTTAAAGAGGATGTGAGGATTGCTTCATATTTAATGTTTATGTAAGTGCTTTGGGTTGGTTATGCACTGTCTGAACATGTGCTTACTTCCATGGCTCATTGCAAGGGCAGGCAGTCAGATGATGCTCTTTAGAATCATTCCCATGGGGAGGGAACAAAGAAGCCTATAAAATGGAAATGCACATGTAAAAAGCATTGGAGAAAGTGCCAGCATATTGATTTTGGCCATGGCTTGTGCTCTGCCACCTGGTTACTGTGACTGCAGGAGCCCATTTGCAAACGAGGAAGAATCCAATGTCCAAAGCCAGAGGCCGTATTTCTTCACTCTCAGGATAATTTGGGTTCAAATTATAGTTCCTTTTCACGCTCTCTGCCTCAAAAGCCCCAAGACTCTGTTTTGCTACGCTTGCCTAAACATGCCTTTCAAAGAGCTAGGTCTGTAAATACAACTTTATTATAATCCTCTCCTTTGCTTTTAAAAATGGATGGCCACATCTATTTCGATGGTCTAACTTTGTCCCTTAATGTAAACTTTTTTCTTGGATTAAGTTTGATGCCTTGAAACATTAAGGACTCAGGCATATAAGGTTGTGTGTGGGGCTGGTGGTGAGGGAAGTCACTGCGCCTCCGCCTATGCTGGGCAGATCAACACGGAGTGTGGACCCACAGAGGGATGTGTGGTTTCTCGCTAGGTGAGGCTGCTTTTAAATATTGTATTTTGATGTTTGTTATTTTCCGAATATTCTACAGTTAGACCTTTGATTTATTCTTTGATGCATTCATTTGAATAATATTTTTAATCTCCAGCCAGTTAGGTTTTTAATTTACACTATTGTCATTGATTTTAGGTGTACAGTGTTGTGTATACTACTTCCCAGACTATGTTATGTTTGTAAGCATTCTTTGCACGCATGACAATGTGACATATTTTTGCACAGTAAAAAGTTCATTATATAGTTATTAACTCAACCCTGCAGTTACATTAGCGAAATGCCTTGTGAAACTTATTTGCCTCCTTGAACTCTTACGGGTGAATCCTGTCTTACAGACTTTCATAGAATGTTCATCTACCAGCCACCCCTTCGTTTCTTTTTGGCATTTGTATGCAATTCCATGCATTATAAGGACAAGATATCTCTTATTATGAATTGCACCTTATATAAACGTAAACATCTTTTATCACATTTGCTTTGATGTGGCCTTTAGTAGGAATTTGTATTATCAGTCACTAAAGCTCACAAAGTTAGTAAGCTTCGTGACCAGATGAGCTCGGCCGGAATGGAGAAGTCTCCGTGTGTAGGGAGTGAATAAACTGCTAGCCTTATTACCTGGACCTCAAGGGACTGTTTTATTTTAGTTTTGCTACATTTCTCAGTATTTCATGTGATATCTTTCTTTTTCTTTCAGTTTGCCAAGGCACGAGTAACAAGCTCACTCAGCTGGGCACTTTTGAAGATCATTTTCTCAGCCTCCAGAGGATGTTCAATAACTGTGAGGTGGTCCTTGGGAATCTGGAAATTACCTACGTGCAGAGGAATTATGATCTTTCCTTCTTAAAGGTTGGTGACTTTGATTTTCCTACACAAATAAAATTGGAGAAAATCTCAGTGGAGAAAGGCCTGGGCAGAAATTCACTTGAAGTGTGTTTATTTTTGCTATGGCAATGACAAGTCTTACAGAGCTGCAAATGAGAGTTTTATGAGAAAGCCACTTTACCAGCCAGTGTCAAGTAATAGCTAAAAAAAGAATCTGAAAGGAAACAGGCTAGGCTGACGTTCTACTGTCATCACAGCCATTGACGTTCATCCCTGACTACTGCCTTGGTCATGGTGTGCTGCTATACCAGCTCTTAAAAACTTTTTGTAAAAGCCCTGCTTTGCACCATTTGCCTATTTCCTTAGTGTAAATACTGCTACCGTAGCTGATTTCAAGCTACCAAGAATTTCACGCAGCTAGTCACAGAATTCTTATTTCACAGTAGATGCTAACGAGCCCATAGGAGCCAGCTCTGAAGGCGTCAGAGTTTGGTGGTCATTGAACTTTGGATGGGATTTACTTAGCCTTCTTCTGTTTTTCTTTTTCCTTTCCTTTTTAAATAAGAAATAATGCAGGAGAGATACAAAGTACTTCTTTTTAATTTCCACTTTCACTGGAGAGTGTTGAACCCCATGCGGCATGAGAACACAGCATTCCAGAACAATCCTCATTGCTCATTATCACAGGCGTCAAAGGCTGACGTGCAGGGATCATTGCAGATCGTGGACGTGCCACCTCCCGTGTCCACGGCTGCAGTCATCTACCTGTTTTACATGTGTTGAGCACTTGTGTGCATCAGGGTTCAGCTGGGTGTCCTAGGACTCCCTGGATTTATTTTAGACCTTGAGTTCTTGAATTCCCCAAAAGAGAAATCACTCACTTATGTTTTCTCCTCTTAGACCATCCAGGAGGTGGCTGGTTATGTCCTCATTGCCCTCAACACAGTGGAGCGGATTCCTTTGGAAAACCTGCAGATCATCAGAGGAAATATGTTCTACGAAAATTCCTATGCCTTAGCAGTCTTATCCAACTATGATGCAAATAAAACCGGACTGAAGGAGCTGCCCATGAGAAACTTACAAGGTGAGACGCTGGGATGCCGAGGCTGGGAGGCTGTAAACGCAGAGAGCAGTTCCGATGGCACCAGCGAGCTTGTCACTCAGTTATGCCTCGGAGAAGGCTTATTTTTATCCCATACACGTGCACTGAGTATAAGATACTGCTGTGTATAAGATACTGCGGGGGGAAGTTACCGAGAACATGGCAGATACTGGAATGGCAAGATTTAAGCGGGATACCGGTGTTTCCATGGACATAAAAAAACATGGAGATTTAGTAAGAAATCATAAAGATTCTGAGTAAAGGGGAGTGTAACCAGAGAAGCTGGGCAGGAATCAGGAGTCTGTGTGTATAGGCAGTGAATAAACTGCCAGTCTTATTACCTGAACCTCAAGGATAAAAGACATGCGGTAACAATCAACCCGCATTGAGGACAGTTTTGGGAGTAGTGCTGTTACACAGAAAGCCGTGTGTAAGTTAAGGATAGGGAATGAGGTGTCCTAGAACTTTGAACTTTTGTGAGCCGGACGTGCGAGGCTCCTGTAAGAGGAAAAGATGAAGTTGATTTTTAAAAACTGGAGGCAGCAGTAACTGTGCCTCACTGTGCCGTAGGATTGGGGCCAAGAATGTGACCTGGTAACTTCATTCAATGCCCACAACCTTTCTTCAAAGTAGGCATTGTGCAGATGCCCACTGACTTACAATGGGATGCTATCTGGCTGGACCCCTCCGAGGGTAAAGGCATCTTTAGGTCGGATTTCAGGGCTGATTGAATGTGAATTGCCTTCACACCATGGCAAAGTCGAAAATCTGTGTTAAACCATGGTAAGCTGGGGACTGGCTGTGCTCTGCCATTTTACAGATAAATAAATGGCAGTCAAGTCCCTCCCCCGAGGCCCCCCGCAAGTGAATGGAGAGAAAGGCCAGCTATGGCCACTGTCTCTGCCCCAGGGCTTGCAACGCCCCTCCTGTGCCATGCAGTTCTGACAGGGAGGCAGTACTGGCAGGAAAGTGGTGTGATGAAAGGGGTGCCAAGCAGAGGGAGCCATGTCGGGAGTGACAGGAGCCCAACAGGGGTGCCACGCTGGGACCCAGGCCAGCCCCTCCCCAAATGGCTCCTCAGTTCACCACCTATACAACTGTGTGGATCCCCCCTACACCCTGCTGCTTAGAGCAGCCACACACAAGCTTGTGTCTGTGCTGACCCTCGCTGGTACTGTGCGCACCTCCTGTGAAATGGCCGGGGACACCAGCTCCTTCCCTGTGCCCCACGTGCTGTGTGGGAGGGAGGCAGCCCATGTAGGTGCCTGGACCTCGGAGCCAGACCCTCTGGGTTTCAGCCTGGTCTGGTCCCTCAGCAGCCAGACAGCTCTGGAGCGCCTTCTCCAATCCGTCTGTGTGTCTGTTTCCTCATCTTCAAAAATGTGGATGGCATAGCTGCTAAAAAAAGGGGACATCCTTCCTAGGTGGGGCAGAAAATCCGGAGACTACAGGAACAGGCCTCAACAGCTCTTTCCACTTCCTTGGTATGATTGGTTTTTAAACCAAGACTGGGTTTGTATAGATGCAGATGAGTTAATATGGCCCTGTTAATAGCTAACACAGTACCTGCCTCGGGGTGAGCCTCCACTACTCCTGGGTGCCCGCCTCCTCCGCTAAGCCACCAGGAAGCGGCCCCTGCAGCCTCCCTCACCTGTGCTGGCCCTCCTCTGGCAGTGGCCAGGGATGAACACATTCAAGCCTGTACAAAGGGTGAGCGTTCCATCGATGACATTAAACATCAACGCTGACAGAATGACTTACATGTACAAAACCCTGGGCAAGTGCGGGGGGCTCTGCAGCATGAATCAGACCTGCAGGCTTCTGTCTGAGAGCTGACAGCCTGGGGACAGACATGTCACACACTCTACACGTGTGCTGAAGGCCTGGCTCGGACTCTCCCTCTGTGTTCTGTCCGCCGCCTGCTCTCACTCAGCTCCTGGGTGGGTTGTCCGAGCTGCCCCAGCAGCCTGCATGGCCCTGTTGGTGCTCCCAGGTTGGTGCTCCTGACTTTTCCTGAGCTCCATCCACCTGTGCCTGGCTTCCTTGTGAGCATTTCCACAGATGGCTCTGTTGTTATCTCCAGCCTCATAAAGAAAGCACCATGATTCAGTCCTTATGACCACAGGCGTCCTCCGTCAGTTCCTTGCTTCTGCACAGCCACTGAAGAAGCCGTCCGCTTGTTCCGCTGTTTCCCTGCCCTGGGTGTCCTGTCTGCAGGAAGCCTTCGGCCCTCACCTCCACACTCCCCTGAGAGATGTGTGCCTGTCCCCTTGCGGGAAGCTCATTTTCCCAGCAGCCTCTGGGATCTGCGGGGGTGACCTTCCCGTGTTGGTACTCTGTGCACACAACATGCCTATTCCCCACCTGGGGCGCTGGGCACTGCTTTATGTATTGAAGGTCGATTTTCTCTCTAGTAAAGTCACAGATGGTCATTGTACCATCGTGAGAATGAATGAAGGTAGTGCTTATAAATCAGCTAGCGAGGTACCCGGCCTCCCTGTGTGACAGGGTCTCCCTGGGCATGAGACGGTTAGAGTGTGCGACATGCCTGTCCCCAAGCCTGTCAGCTCCAGATAGAAGCATGCAGGTCTAATTCGTCCTTGAAGCACACACGGCACCACAGGGTTTTGTACATGTAATCATTCTGTCAATGTTCACGTTTAATGTCATTGATGGAACACTCGCCCTTTGTACAGGCTTGAATGTGTCCATCCCTGACTTCCCCGTATCCTCTTAGCTCTTCCTTGGAAACAGCCGTACAGTTTGACCACCCTGTGCACTCCTGGAATCCACTGTCTCCATCATACATTCAGAATCTTCTTGCTTCGTGTCACTCTCGTACCCTTTTCTCTTTTTTTTTTTTTTTTTTTTGGGACGGAGTTTCGCTCTTGTTACCCAGGCTGGAGTGCAATGGCACGATCTCGGCTCACTGCAACCTCCGCCTCCTGGGTTCAGGCAATTCTCCTGCCTCAGCCTCCTGAGTAGCTGGGATTACAGGCACACGCCACCATGCCCAGCTAATTTTTTGTATTTTTAGTAGAGACGGGGTTTCACCGTGTTGACCAGGATGGTCTCGATCTCTTGACCTCGTGATCCACCTGCCTCGGCCTCCCAAAGTGCTGGGATTACAGGCTTGAGCCACCGCGCCCGGCCCTCGTACCCTTTTCTCTAATGGAAAGCTTCACCTGGGCATGGGAGGTGGAGGCTGACCCCTCACCCAGCACCCGGGGCTGCAGCGCTCCCTCTGGACCTGCCTCCCTGCCCTGCCTACCCCCCACATCATGTGGCCATTCCAGTCCAGCTGATCAGCTGCTGGGGACCCCCAGCTTACCACACATGCATCATTTATGCTGTGACTGCTGACTTAAACCATTCTCTTCCTTCCTCCCCATATTTCTAAATTACTAATCATTGCTCAAAGCCCAATTCAGAGAAACCCCTAACCCCTTCATGGCGCTATCATTAATTATTTTATCTGACCGCCCTCGGGGAAGTTCACAGGACTAATGCTAGCAGCAGGTAAATGTGAAGAGCGCATACATCCTTCATGGGAATTTAAAGGAGCTGGAAAGGACGCTCACCGCAGTTCCATTCTCGCGCAGAAATCCTGCATGGCGCCGTGCGGTTCAGCAACAACCCTGCCCTGTGCAACGTGGACAGCATCCAATGGCGGGACATCATCAGCAGCGATTTTCTCAGCAACATGTCGATGGACTTCCAGAGCCACGTGGCTGGCTGTAAGTGTCGCACACACGAGCTCTGCCTCCAGCTCCTATGGGGGGAGCTCTGAGCGCTGGGGCGGGGAGAGAAGCCATGTTTACTAAGTCACATTAATCAGAAACAAAAAGTAGTAAGCAAAATATCTTGATCACTGGAAGAGCGTGTATTTACCACAGATGTAGACACCGGCTTTTCGTGGTGGGTGGCAGCCTGGCTGGCTGGCAGGGCAGGCCACCCGAGGCAGGTCCCCTGCAGGGACATCAGAGCCCTCGTGGCCTAAGAAGAGCTGCTGTTCACGGGGCGGCCAGCACCGGGGCCTCTCCCAGCCTGCCCTGCTGAGACTGGCCAGACTCCTGCATGCTGGGGCATCCCGGCCCTCCTGAAGCACTGGGGCGGAATCCACCCCCAGCTGAGGGCGTGAACACTGCCACATGGAGCCACACCCAGAGCTGGGCACCAGTCATGGGGAGGAAATCTGTCCATGTTTCCTTGAATGTTGGTGGCCTGGTCCCTGTCCCGTTCACCAGCGAGGCTGCCTGTAGGGAAGCCTGGCAGGGAACCAGGCGCAGGTCAGGGTGGCACTCCGGCCAAGGCCAGCACTGATGGGGGACTCTGAGATGCAAGCTCACACCCACCCAGCTCCCCTGGGCCATGCCCCTTCCTGATCGCCCGGGCTTTCTGTGATTACCATTTCCCACCTCTCTGTTTCCCCACAACTCTGCAGTACCTATTTGTTTTCTATCCTCAAAAAAAAAAAGGAGCTGACATGAATCTTCAGAATCATCAACTAGAGGGCTTTGGGTTTTTATATATTTATTTTGTTTTTATTTTATGTATAGATTATGATGAAATGCCCATAAGATTTTTCCATCTTAACCATTGAAAGTTATAATGTCATGACATTATACACACATATTGGTGTATGGCCATTACCACCGTCCACACACACAACGCTTTTATCTTGCAGAGCTGAAACTCTACCCATTAGACAGTAACTTCCTGCTCTCTCTTTCTTCCCAGCCTCTGGCCTTGGCAGGCACCAGTCCACTTGATGTCTCTATGAATGTGACTGCTCTGGGGCTGTCATATAGGTGGAATCATGTAGTATCTGTCCTTTTGTGACTGGCTTATTTCACCTAGCAAAATGTCCCAAAGGTTCATGCATGTGGCACGTGTTGAATATTCCATGGCATGTGTACACTACATTTCATTTGTCCGTTCACCCATTAATGGACACTTGGATTGCCTCCACCTTTTGACTTTGAATAATGCCACTGTGAACATAGGTATTGAGCCTCTTTGTTTTATAAACAAATTATTCCACCAGATATCCATCCTGACACCTACTATGTTTGCAAGAAACTGAAAGCTTTATTTTACATTGCAGACTTTCATATTATGAGATCAAAGTTAGCATTTCCTCATCTGTCTGGTGGACACTGGGGAGGTTAAATTGTGCACATTTTATTTTTTTGATGAACCTGGAATGGTGATGGGGCCAGTGTTTGCCATGGATCAGGTGAGGCAGCCCACAATGGCAGCCTCCGTGTTCTGCACCACAACTGTTAGAAAGACCCACAAAGAAAGTGCTGGAAAGGGGAATGAACAGTGGGTTCATGCAGTAAAAAGATTCAAATACAGGGCTTTGAACTATAGGCCAATGTGGTATTGCTTTAAGAATAGACATAAATAAAGACAATAAGAATTAGCCTAGCTAAATCAAAAGTCCTTAAAGAATGGACATTTCAGGCCAGTAAGGTACTGATTCATTATTCAATAAACTGTGTAGAATGACTTAACAATTAGGGGCGAAAATACCAAAGTGAGTGAACTATAAAGGGTTTTTATAAAGGAACTAGGTATGTTGGGTTAGTCGTGTTGCAGAGTGCAAATTCACCATCAACCTGATACCTGAATTTTCCTTCTTACCATCTAGAGGCAAGCTGGGAACCCTGCCAGGCTCCTGTGGGAAAGGAAGCCCGTCTCTTGAGTGGTGCTTTATGGCTACATGTTCCAGCTCAGAACGGGCCTCATTTAGTTTTCACCAAAACAAATCTCATGAGACGACTTAAGTGTTTTACGGACAAGATGCCTGAGATTCAGAAAAATTTCAGCATGCCCAGCATTACGTTTTTGTTGAAGTTGGGCATTACAAGTTAGAATGAATGGGTTTACTTGAGAGAAAATTAAAATAAATCCATCACCCACTTCATGTAATATAAATTCCAAATACATATTAAATACTTAAAATAAAATATTTAATGTATATATAAGTGCCAACAAGAAATATATAGATGAATATTTTGTAATATCGAGTTAAAGAAAAGCCAAAATCTGACACCATAAAAGAAAACTTTCATGTGAAAAATATTAATGGCCACCAGGAAAACATTGTGCAGTGTCTGACTGCCATGAAGAGGGTTAGTATCCTTGCTATATTACTATCTGAAGTCATCCTTAAAAGACTATGAAAAAGATTAATCTCTTAATAAAAACATGGCTCAGAACATGAGCAGCCTCTCTCTCTCTCTGTCTCTGTTTCTGTGACACACATGTGCGCTCGTGTGTGTATACACACACACACAAAGATCAGCAAGAAATAAAGTAAAATGTGATTTCTAAGGTAATAAAAAAGGTCAGAGTAAAATAACAAAGCATCACATCTTCCTTTGTTAAGTATTTGGGTTCCTTTTGCTTTTAAACACCTGGGTCAGCTGGGGTGTGGAGAAGCAGAAATTCTCATGTTTCTGCCTGTGGGCATATAAATTAATAAAACCCAGCTTGGCAATACACCTGCAAAATGTATCTAAAACTAGTATGTATAGCTCTGACCCATGAATGTCACATTTAGGAACAAGAGAAAAAGAAATAAAAGTGAAAATCATAAGAGATGTAGAAACATATCCTTATACAAGAATTCCTTGTAGCCTTATTTATGATAAATGTTGTGAACAAATTATATATCTAAAAATAAGAGATCGTTAAATTAATTATGCTGCAGCCATGCTACTGATAATCATGTTAGGTAGAAACGTATTTAAAGCCATGAACTCCTTTAGTTTCCTGTGTCTTCATGGTAAAAGCATGGAAAAATGATCATGTTTTATCAGGGTTTTTAAGATTATAACACCATGTATAGCGGGATTCCAATTCCTGTATGTACATAGACTTATATGTCTATATTGACTCTCAGTGAGTCCCATGTCTTCTTTTTGCTTCCTTCTATTATCCATATTTTATATGATGTGCCTGCATTTCTTTTTTGTCACAGTTGGTCAACACTAGAATCATAAATAGACCATAGTTTGTTGGCAAATGTTTAACCTGTTAGAGAAAGATGAGTTTTTCTCTTAAACATTTTTTATACAATGATTACATGCTTATAATAGAAATTTGAAAATTATATATAAGTACAGGGTAAATTCTTTCTGTACTCACATAGAATTTTCATGTAAATAATTTTACATAAATTTTTATGTAAATAATTTTATATATGATTTTCATGTAAATGATTTTACATGAAACTGAAGGCTTTATTTTACATGAAAATTTTACATGAAATAACAATTTTACATGAAATTACATAATTACATAACTTACATAATTTTACATGAAAATTATATGTAAGTACAGAAAGAATGGGACAGCATTCCGTAGACCTGTCTGCTTTTAACATGCCTGCGCACAACCTTGCTTTCTCTCGGCCTCTGCCAGCGTCTCTCTGCCTCCCTTTCTTACACGTTCATCCCCCACTGTCAGTCCTGATGCCAGCCTCCCCAGCCTTCACGACTCTAAGGAGCACCCGTGCGGCATTAGCGCCCTTCGCCCTGCTGATATCCCAGCTTCACAATCACGTGAGAGATCGATCGTCAGCTCTTCTGTTTGAAATCTAAATTCTCCCTGACTGCAGGAGACCTCGGGACCCATGAACTTCTTTAGTTTACTGTGTCTTCACAGTAAAAGATATCTGCATGGCTGGACTCTTTAATAAATTTGGTGGTCAGCCTGCTCTCTCTAGATAGATATGGCACTTCGACCTTCAGACTTCTCAATACTGATAAAAAGAAAACACGACAGATGAGAGGAAAACCTTTGCAGCTGTAGTTTGTAATTGGCCGATTATAAAAACTGCAAAAATTGACCAGATAACGAAGGCCTCACACAGTCAACAAGGCGGTCTGCACTGTTAACATGTCACCCTCTGTGCAGCCTTTTGCGTTTCTCTCTGATTTGGAGCCTAGAAGATTTTATTTACAGGCCATGGCTTAACAATCCCAGAACAACTGACTCATGCAGTCACTCAAGACTGGACATGGCAAGGAAGCAGTGAGTCCATGCCAAAGGTCCGGCCAAACTAGACACTCTAGCTGCGGCGGGAGATGCTGGGGGATGCTCCAAGCCTAACCAGATTGCAGACAGGGAACCTCAAATTCATGAAAAATTCTCGTGTATGTGGCCCATGTTAGTAATTACTCTCCGCCTCAGCTCCCACAGCTGACATGTAAATAAAAGCAGTACATGGTTCATCTTCTTTCCTTATCAAGGTCTCTCTTTTTTATTTTGAGATGGAGTTTTGCTCTTGTTACCCACACTGGAGTGCAATGGTGCGATCTCGGCTCACCGCAACCTCCGCCTCCTGGGTTCAGGCAATTCTCCTGCCTCAGCCTCCTGAGTAGCTGGGATTACAGGCACGCACCACCATGCCCAACTAATTTTTTGTATTTCTAGTAGAGACGGGGTTTCACCATGTTGATCAGGATGGTCTCGATCTCTTGACCTCGTGATCCACCCGCCCCGGCCTCCCAAAGTGCTGGGATTACAGGCGTGAGCCACCGCGCCTGGCCCTCAAGGTCTCTTAAGTGATTCTACAAACCAGCCAGCCAAACAATCAGATATAAGTTGCCAAGATTGTCTTCATTTATTGAACGTGCTTAACTCAGGCCTGGGAATGGCTGTCATCCGTTTCTCATTATTCCTTCCCTTTCACTGAGATATGCATCTATTACTTTTACATTTCAGGCCAAAAGTGTGATCCGAGCTGTCCCAATGGGAGCTGCTGGGGTGCAGGGGAGGAGAACTGCCAGAAACGTAAGTCAGTGAACAGCCTCAGACCCACGTGTGACCGTCCCCCCTGCCTTCACTTACTTAGGTGATTGGATTTGTTTTCCCCTTTGAAGACCCCAGCTATTTTATCACATGGCCTGGTGTGAACTGTTAGGTGAATGACAGTCTTGCAAATCTCACCGCATGCGGTTAATCCAGGGTGGGTTATTTTGGGCGCTTCAGCCTGTCATAAATAAGTGAACGCCAGCAGGGTACCCCAGCCCTGTCCTCTGGACACAGCACACTTCCCGGGAATGGAGTCTTGTCCCTGTTGACAGCAGTCACCAGGCTTCTCGCTTCCTCTCCCTCCCTGGCTTTCTTTGTACCCACCTACACAGAAGCCTGAGCACAGTTCCTCATAGGGACTTTTCCGTGTGGACCCTGCCTTAGGATGGAGAGGGCCACCCACCCAGGCATGGCTGGCTCAGCCTCTCCGTGGCCAAGGAACCTGGGGACAGGAGCTCAAAAACAGACCCTCTGCCCTTAAGCTGAATTGTGGGGTGGCTGTTAGGCCCTTCTAAACACTGCTTCCCAGCAGATATTTTTGTTCTTTGTATGTGCTTCCTGCATTGCCCAAGATGTACCTAATTATTTAGCAGGTCTCAAAGTCTAGACTTGATTTGACGGTTCTCTTAAGTGATGAAAAATAAATCAGGAGAAAAAAGAGCCAATCGGAAAAGGGCATGGTTTGACTCAGCTTGAATGACGTTTCGTTGGAGGCAAATGTGTCTTCACTTTTTTTGTCTACATCTGCAAGTGCTCTGCAGCCTCCCTGGGAAATGACGCTATGCTCACGCTTCAGCTCACGAGGGACCTTTGCTCTTTTTCAGTGACCAAAATCATCTGTGCCCAGCAGTGCTCCGGGCGCTGCCGCGGCAAGTCCCCCAGCGACTGTTGCCACAACCAGTGCGCCGCAGGCTGCACGGGCCCCCGAGAGAGCGACTGCCTGGTAAGATGCCCCTCCAGCAGCCTCCCTGGAGCGGGCTGTGGCTGCACCCTCCCCACCCACGCCAGGACAGAGAACCTCCTGTGGCAGAGCTGTCAATTAGCATTTGTAGTCACAGACAGGATACTGCCCTCTGCCTGGTGGCAAAGTATCTTTAGTATCCTGCCTCCACCACTCACTGAGACCTTGGGAAAATCATGGGACCTCCATGACTCCATTTCCCCACCTGATAATGATGTGGAACAAAGTCTCTCCTAGCTGAATGCTTAAAGGACATAATGCCCATGATGGCCGTCACCAGGACCTGGGCACAGAACAAGCACTAAATACTACATGCAAGTATTGTCATGAATGTGCCTTGTTTTGCCAGCAACGCACTCTCTTTATTATTTGACTTCCACTATACCTCTAGAGACTTGACACCTTGAGGTCCCTAAGAGACCCGTGGAGAGCCACACAGGTCTCGCTGGCTGGGGCTGCATTAGGGCCTCCTGACACGGATCCCTCAGCTCCTCCACCACTGCTCAGGCACCTCCTGAGCTCACCCTGCCCTCAAGGGCTCCTGAAGTACTCGCTCTCACCCTGTTACTGCAGAAAAGGCCAGCAGAAGACTTGCTGCCCCAGCGAACTCTGGGCAGCACCAGAGGGTGTAGGTCAGGAGCGTCTTGGAAGTCCTAGAGACGCCAAGGCTGGTGGATGTGATTCCTGAAGTGGGTGCTGGATGTGACGAAGTCCTCCCTAAGACTAAATCCAGAGCACTCTGTGGTTTCAGGGAAGATTCCTAAATTCCAGAGGCTGGACCCAGACCCCCTGGGCTGTTTGTAATGTGAGCCCCAGGGAGAACACTGTGCATGGGGTTGATCCTGGAAAGATCCCATACTGTATTGGGTGTGGCCCCTTTCCAGGGCATTGACCTAGGCAACGTTTTCCGCCATTCAGCAATACATTATAAAATGTACACTCAGCTGTACTTTATAAGGGAAGCCCAATGTAATCTGAGTTTAAACGTTAATTTCACTCCATCGTCACCTATAGAATGTGCAAACTCCATCATCTTTACGTTAGTAAAGAGATGTATTTTGGGCCGGGCGCGGTGGCTCAAGCCTGTAATCCCAGCACTTTGGGAGGCCGAGGCGGGTGGATCACGAGGTCAAGAGATCGAGACCATCCTGGTCAACATCGTGAAACCCCGTCTCTACTAAAAATACAAAAAAATTAGCTGGGCATGGTGGTGCGTGCCTGTAATCCCAGCTACTCAGGAGGCTGAGGCAGGGGAATTGCCTGAACCCAGGAGGCGGAGGTTGCGGTGAGCCTAGATCGTGCCATTGCACTCCAGCCTGGGTAACGAGAGCGAAACTCCGTCCCAAAAAAAAAAAAAAAGAGATGTATTTTTATCATGACCCATAAATTCTGGTGGGTGGGACAGTGCATCTAACAAAAAATTGATTTTTTGGAAGAAGGATCTCTCTGACTCTGCAGAGGGCGCCGCTAGCTTTTCCCACACTAGTTGAACACTGGGCTATGAGGGCCATAACTTGAGCTTTTTGACGGGCGTCAGCGCTGTGCTGTGCTTCCTCCGTGTGTGGCACCCGCCACGTGTCCTTACTCACTTGCCCGGTGTGTCCTTTCTCCTCCCCAGGTCTGCCGTAAATTCCGAGACGAAGCCACATGCAAGGACACCTGCCCCCCACTCATGCTCTACAACCCCACCACATATCAGATGGACGTGAACCCCGAGGGCAAATACAGCTTTGGTGCCACCTGCGTGAAGAAGTGTCCCCGTGAGTCCTTCCCTGTGAGCCCTCTGACTGGTCAGGCATGCTCGTCCCTCTCCGTCTTCTGCTAAGCTCTGGAGTACCCAGTCTTAGAGAGTCTTTGGGTGGATGTGTTTGCCTCGCTGTGGGGAGGCGACCCTGTGCCCATCCAGGTGCAGTGACCCTGTGCCCGTCCAGGTGCAGAGGCGAGGGGGGGGCTGGCTTGCTACCAAGGAGTGGGCAGGCATTGACCGTGTCCACCCATGGGGGCTGCTGGGTGCACAGGGCAGATCTTGGTGGCAAGGCCACCTCACAGGAGAAACACCTGCTGTTCAGTCCTCACCGCTCGCCCAGCAGCCACAGGCTACGGTATTCAGTTGCCTGCTGGGCACAAAGCAGGGGCATGTCACTGTTTAGCACTTGTGCCAAACAGGTATATAATAGGCCTAAATCAGAGAATCTATCAGAAGACCTGCCTTTTTGAGTGGCTGAAATTCTAGTGAAAGTTAAGCCTCCTAGAAGTATTGCACAAGTTTTGTTTTTGTTTTTATTTTGTTTTGTTTTCATGGTTTGGGTTTGACTTTTGCTTGTTTGTATTTACATTTGTACTGGTGGCTCCAGGGTTTAGAGAAGTGGTGACATAAAATGCTTTCTAACAGGGAGAGCAAAACTTTGTCTAATGAAAGAGTTTTAGAAGCCAATCTTGATCTCTAAAAGGGAAGATTAACTGGAAAAAAAAATTGAAAGAACAGTGATGAGGGGGAGATTTTACCCTGCCAGATTTGTGTACATGAGAAATTTTACACTCTGGGAAAAAACACACAAAATAAGAAGCCATTATAAGGCAAATGGCAAATGAAGCCAAAGAAAAATGTGCCGCAGTGTTAACACAGATATAGTCTGCGAGAGAGGGCTTAACAGAGCTTTAAAATCCATAGGAAAACACTTCGAGCCTAAGATAGCAAGAGCAGATGGTTCACAGAAGAATCACCAAGGTCCTGTAAACATTTGTGAGGATCTTCTTGGGGAACTTAGGAACAGGCCAGGCGCAGTGGCTCCCACCTCTAATGCCAGCACTTTGGAAGACCGAAGGGGTTGGATTGCCTGAGGTCAGGAGTTCAGGAACAGCTTGGCCAATAGGGTGAAACTCCATCTCTACTAAAAATACAAAAATTAGCCAGGCGTGGTGGCAGGCACCTGTAACCGCAGCTGCTCAGGAGGCTGAGGCAGGAGAATCGCTTGAAACCAGGAGGTGGAGGTTGCAGTGAGCCGAGCTCACGCCACTGCACTCCAGCCTGGGTGACAGGGCAAGACTCCATCTCAAACAGACAAACAAATAAGCAAACAAATAAGTGACACATAGAGCTCCTAAAAGTAACATAGATGTCACTATTAACAGAGATGAATTACTTTAAAGGTGGGAGCAGGTGGAGGAGAGGGCTGAGGTGCCGCTGGGATGCAAAACAGCTGTCCCCACAAGGGACCCAGGGCCATGTCAGGAAGGGCCATGACAGCAAAGCTGGTGTCAGCCGCAGAATAAAATGCAGCCTCACCTATAGCTGCTTCAAGGGAAGAGTGCTCTTTTTAGGTCTACATATTTTTTTTTTTTTTTGAGATGGAGTCTTGCTCTGTCACCAGGCTGGAGTGCAGTGGCGCAAGCTCGGCTCCCTGCAACCTCCGCCTCCCGGGTTCAAGCGAATCTTCCACCTCAGCCTCCCCAGTAGCTGGGACCACAGGCGCATGCCACCATGACGGGCTAATTTTTTTTGTATTTTTAGTAGAGATGGAGTTGCACCATGTTGGCCAGCATGGTCTCGAGCTCTTGACCTCATGATCTGCCCACCTCGCCCTCCCAAAGTGCTGGGATTACAGAGGTCTACACATTTTTAATGAACACTCAAGCTCTAGCCATGAGCCCTGAGGACAGCTCCTACGAGGAAGGACAGGAGCTCACAGAGGTGCTGTACCCTAGCGAGCACTGCGCTGCTTTTTCCCTGTTTCCCTGACACCTGTTTCCTGCGGTGTTGAAACACCGTATGGTCCACATTACGGCCTAGAGTGTCATTAAACTCTTGAATGGGATTCCTTTTCCGTTTGTGACCTGTCATTCTTTGTCCTTAAAGTAAATAAAGCCAAAGGAGGATGGAACCTTTCCATCAGCCCTCTCGAGGACCTGGGCAGTCCGCGTGAGGCCCGAGCACCTGGTGCCACCGTCGTCACCTTCCTTTCATGCTCTCTTCCTTAGGTAACTATGTGGTGACAGATCACGGCTCGTGCGTCCGAGCCTGCGGGGCCGACAGCTACGAGGTGGAGGAAGACGGCGTCCGCAAGTGTAAGAAGTGTGAAGGGCCTTGCCGCAAAGGTAGGAGGCCCTCGGAGGTGCGGGCGAGGCTTGCTCTCTGCGGCTGAGGCTGGACTCTCAGCCACCTCCGAATGAACACATCTTCCTCTTCTCATTAAAAAACAACTATGCATGTCGGCCGGGCGCGGTGGCTCACGCCTGTAATCCCAGCACTTTGGGAGGCCGAGGCAGGCAGATCACAAGGTCAAGAGATCGAGCCCATCCTGGCCAACATAGTGAAACCCCGTCTCTACTAAAAATACAAAAATGAGCTGGGCGTGGTGGCATGCGCCTGTAGTCCCAGCCACTAGGGAGGCTGAGGCAGGAGAATTGCTTGAACCCTGGAGGCCAAGGTTGCAGTGAGCTGAGATCGCGCCATAGCACTGGAGTCTGGCAGCAGAGCAAGACTCCTAAAAAAAAAAAAAAAAACCGACTATGCATATCGTTTCTTTAAGACACATTATAAACTGCAAAGCCAGGTTAGGCAATGGGAAGGGACTGAAGGTTGTGATAGGGTGGGGGGCCCCGATGAGGCCGCCAGGCGCCCAGCCCTGGGACAGTCCACGGGAGGCAGAGCTGGATGCAGCCCAGCTCCATGCAGCCCATGGGAAATAATGAGGCAAATGCCAGGTCGGCGTGGAATGACAGCGATGGCGTCTCCTACACCACTGTAGCCCCAAAGCGTGCCATAGGTCCTGGTGTGCCCCCCCCACCCTCCCCAGCCCTGTCAATGTTTGTCGAGTGAATGAAGGATGACATGGCAACGGAAGTTCCCGTGGCTGGAGTTCCTTCCTGCTGCCCTCTGCCTGTGGATCCTTAGCTATTTTTAATCTAACAAATGTGAACAGAATACATCTCTCTCTTATCTCGGCAGTGTGTAATGGAATAGGTATTGGTAAATTTAAAGACACACTCTCCATAAATGCTACAAATATTAAACACTTCAAAAACTGCACCTCCATCAGCGGTGACCTCCATATCCTACCGGTGGCATTTAGGGGGTAAGTCACAGGTTCAATTACTTGTACAGAGAAAAACAGAATCGGCCTTGTTAACTGGCAGAGGTTGGTGATCAATAATCGCCCTGCTGTTTGTTCCAGTGACTCCTTCACACACACCCCACCTCTGGACCCAAAGGAACTGGATATTCTGAAAACCGTTAAGGAAATCACAGGTTTGAGCTAAATTATCACATCAATATAAATGGGAAATCAGTGTTTTAGAGAGAGAGCTTTTTGACATATTTCCTTCTTCCTTGGCATAAAAACATTTCTTCTGAAATTTTACCATTGATGGCTAACGTTTTGATACTGTTCAAAAATGTAGTTTCCCCTGCAGGAGGGGGACACGTTAAGCCCAGGCTTGGGTCATTCACTGCACAAGTGAACATGCTTCCTCCCTCCTGCCCGGCCCCAGCCAGCCACCTTGGTGGCCCATAACCCCAGGGGCAGCCTGGACCTCAGCCCTTTGAAACTGGGCGCCAAAGCCCTGCAGGGCCACGGGCGGGCCTCGGGTCCATGACTGCCACCTGAGCTCCACTTCCTTCCTCTCTAAAATGGGCAAATTAGACCTACCTAACAAGACTGTTTTAGGATTGAAATCAAATAAGGAAAATCATTAAGCTCCTTGTACGTGATACCAATCCATAAATGGCAGATAATCAATCACAGCAGGAGCCTCTTTGGGGTAATCAGATACGCAGCCCAGGAGAAGCCCCAGGGCCACAGCCAGAGGGGCAGCAGGAGACGTGCGACTCACTGGGGGAGGCGGGAGGCCGCTGTGAAGCTGACTCAGCCTGCATCGCCCATGCGCATGTTCACCCAGAGAAGAGGATGATAAAAAAGAATCAAAACAAATCAAATTTTCCCACTCACTGCTCATATTATTCAGAGTCCCTGGGAGTCCTAGAGTAATGTCTCATACAAAAAATACACTCCTACATGGTGTGTGCCTGAGCCTTTCTTCTGCTTCACAGGGTTTTTGCTGATTCAGGCTTGGCCTGAAAACAGGACGGACCTCCATGCTTTTGAGAACCTGGAAATCATACGCGGCAGGACCAAGCAACAGTGAGTTGACCACAGCCAAAGCCTGGGAGATGACATTTGCCTTTTTAGTTGGAAATTAGGCTTACAGGAGCATTGCTAAGATAGGGCACAGAGCTCCTGTATCTCTCGCCGGCATTCCTGAATAGTATCACACATGAGCAGGTACAGGGATCAAGACTGAACGGCCATTGGCACCGGCTGTCCGCTAAACCACAGACTTCTCCGCGTCGCCAGGGCTTCAAATCCCGCATTGCGCTTACTCGTCAAAGCTTTGAAGTCCCTCCCAACCTACATCAGTTCCTGTGTCTTTCCTTCTCTTTCATGGCCTTGACACTTATAAAAAGTGTGTGTCCGTTACTTTGCGACTGTCTAACCGTTTCTGCTCAGCTGGTGTCTCTTCAGGATGCAGTTGAGGCTATGTACGTCTTACACAGGGACCAGAGAGACTCTTTAGCACCACCTTTTTTTAAGGATTTCCACCTTTTCACCTCCGACAGTGGAACAGACATGCAGGTGCTCACACACAAGCATCTTTAATGTGGTAACCATCAGTTTAGTGGTGTGGCGGAGGAGATGGGAATCTCTTGGTGAAACCCGCCTTGGAAGCAGCCTCGTTGTGAGAACTGCTGCCCCTATTGACTCCTAAAGCACTATGCAATACTGTGCAACACTGAGAAGAATCAGAGTGCGTGAAATACGCATCTCACCCCCATCATGGTCTGGCAGGGGCTAGAGGTTCTCACCCCCATCTCACCCTTTCATAAACTCCCTTGGCTCTGCACCTGTGATCCTAAACACGTGGCTACCGTTGCTTCCCAGAAAGACCTTTTCGCTCTGAATTCTCTGGATTACTTCCTTTGCCCAAGATTCTTGCAAAAATAAGAGATTTAAGGCAATTTTCTTGGATGACTGGTATAAGCCACTTGGCTTAGTGGTAGGGATTTAAATAAGATAAGCGTTACTTACTCTTCACATTTAATGAGAAGTTTGGTGATTCCAGCTCATACTGAAGCGGGGTGGCCACAGGTTCCGGGGGGTGACTCACTGAAGCCCCAGACCTGCCCTGCAAAACGACCTGGCCTCTATTGGCATATGTGGGGAAGAATTCCTAAAGGTATTGGTTGCAGGATCCTATACAAGACCACTCATCTGTGTAGGAGAAAGAAAAAAGATGGGGGAAAGAAGAGCAGCAGGGAGAGGAGAAGCCTCTGGATAACAGTCTAACCCTCTGCCATCCAACACCTAAACATCAGTCTCTTCATCCAGTCCTCGAAGCTGGCCCAGTCCCCAGCCTGGGGTCAGATGAGAGATTCCTGCAAATGCAGATCTCTTTCCTGTGGCTCCTTCTCAATTACAGACAGCTCCTCCTCAAGGTGCACGGGGTCTCCTGTACCCTGGCCTTGTCCGCCCTTCCCAAACCAGCCCAGGCCTTCCAGCCTGCACCATCCCAGACCTGCAGGGGCTAGAGGTTCTCACCCCCATCATGGTCCAGCTGGGCCTAGAGGGTCTCACCCCCATCATGGTCTGGCTGGGGCTAGAGGGTCTCCCCCACATCATGGTCTGGCAAAGGCTAGAGATTCTCCCATCCATCGTGGTCCAGCAGGGGCTAACGGTTCTCACGTCCACCGTGTGCCTTCCTGCTCCTCCAGGTGGCTCAGTACATCCCCGCTTCAGTCTGAATGACTTCCATCCAGTCATCTGATAGGCATATTGGACCACCCCATAGTGTCCTAGCATCGTGTTGGATGGTGAAGAAAATAGCACAGTCCCTGCTGGCAGGGCCTCACAGCCTTAGGCATCATTTTTTGGAGGAAGCTCCCCTTCCCAGGCATCCCTCCCAGACCTCTTTGGAGGCCCCTGCTCTTTGCTTCCATGTCGCCGGCACTCACCGTGGTCCTCGCAGGGGCTCAAAATGATCTGCCTAAAGGATTGTGTCACCACCAGATGGAAGGTCCTTGAGAGTAGGAGACATATTTAACCTACACAGAATTTGAGACAGAGAACCTCAAGTGTTTGTCCAATAAATATATGAATGGACAGACAGACAGGCTGGGTGGTGGATAGATGGACAAACCCACAACCTTTGAAGTTTATTGGGCTGTTTGATAGGTTAGAATATGTTCTCAATTTCCAGGCAAAATGAAAATGGAGAAAATATAACGACATGAAAGCATTTTATTCATCCTCCCGGTCTGCCACTGAGGTTAAAGATACTAAATAAACAAGGAGCTAGCTTTTTCCTGGATAAACTTAAACACTTGCAGTTTTCAAAAGGTGCAGGGTGTGCCTCTCACAACATGACTTACCATCCTTGGAAAGCAGTTTGTAGTCAATCGAAGGCAGTCAGGAAAAACAAAGTTTTCAGGGATATATTTTTTTCATAATTTTTTACCATGTGATTTTTCTTCTCTCCAATGCAGTGGTCAGTTTTCTCTTGCGGTTGTCAGCCTGAACATAACATCCTTGGGATTACGCTCCCTCAAGGAGATAAGCGATGGAGATGTGATAATTTCAGGCAACAAAAATTTGTGCTATGCAAATACAATAAACTGGAAAAAACTGTTTGGGACCTCCAGCCAGAAAACCAAAATTATAAACAACAGAGGTGAAAACAGCTGCAGTAAGTCACCGTTTTTGTTTATGGAATTGGGTCCTTTATTTTTATTTAGAATTTTGAAGAGCTATTCCCATTTAAATTACTTTTTTCAGTTCCTTAAGAAGCAAATTACAATCTTTAGAGTCCTAATTGTGAAATTACCATGTGAATTCCATTAAAACTGTTTTCAGATCATTCTTATTTAATAGGATGAATTTGCCCTGAGGTTTAAGCTACCAATTGTTTGTAATTTGTTTGTAATTTAAGTAACTAAATTTAGTATTGGTTATACTACCTTTTAGCTGTAGGTCACCCACTGCTCGTTTCGGCCTGTAAAGATTATAGCTACAGACACACACACACACACACACACACACACACACACACACACACACACACAAATGGAATGAGCACATCAACACTTCCTGTTCTGACTCAGCTTTTGAAGCTGCTGAGAGCCTGGCCTGTGCTGGGCTTTGGCCATGGCAGAGTCAGCTGTGAGTCAAGTGCTGGTCTGGACTCCCTAGCTTTGAAGCCCTTATCAATTCCCTTAATCTCCTTCGGCTTTGGCTTCCTCATCCATAACATGGAGATAGGAATGATTCCCACGCTGTAGTGCTTTGAGAGAATTCAGTGAAATTCTGTGTGTAAAACCCTTCCATGGTGCCTGCACATGGCACACAGTCACAGCCTGCCCAACGGCTCCCATCAGCTGTGAGATTTGTCATCAGAACACCACCGGCTCTGCTCCAGACTGCCCTGGGTACCATCAAAACACACCCAGTGCCCAGCAGCACCTGGCCCGTCTGCACGGCTGACCCCTTCAGCAGGGGCAGTGGCCAGGGGAGCACAGAAAACACTGAGTCCCATCTGGTTTAATTGATGCCATTGCCAAAGGGGAGGACTCATGGCACCCCCTCTCGTGCGCCCGCATGCCTGGCTCACCACTAGGAGGTAGACCTGTACTTCACTGTCAGGCATGGTCCAGTGCTCCCAGCAGCCAGCCGCCTGCTGCATCCTTCCTGTCACGGCAGCGGGGACTGCGGGAGGCCTCTGGGAAGCCCAGTCTGTGTCTTCCTCTTTCAGGCATGCCTAGCAAGTCTGTGCCACCCAAGGTCACGGAGCACAGGGCCCCTCCCGGGAAGGTGCCATCTCCTCTGGCCCCTGGGGTCCCTGCTCCATCACTGACTGCTGTTAACCACTTTGTCTCTGCAGAGGCCACAGGCCATGTCTGCCATTCCTTGTGCTCCTCCGAGGGCTGCTGGGGCCCGGACCCCAGGGACTGCGTCTCCTGCCGGAACGTCAGCCGAGGCAGAGAGTGCGTGGAGAAGTGCAACGTTCTGGAGGGGTAGGAGATGATTTCTTTAACTCCCTTGCTTTGATCAAAAAGGAGACACCAGGTTGTTGTTATAACTTTACAGGCACTCTGTTAAATTTTCTTTTCCTTTTATTCTTTGCCTTTGGTTTTTGGAGGTCTGGGGGTTTTCTGTGCGGGGAAGGGAAGTTGTTTGATTACTTTATATTTTGACAAATTTAATCACAATAAGAAAAATCACGTGTTATTACCTAATTTAATCCAATACTTTACAGAATCTCTTTTCCTGGAAGTATCTTAAATTTTTCTAAGCTACAAAAAGTTCCTAAAACAAATGAGACAGTCATCAGTGGTTCATCTGGCCAACTCCGTGGACATTTGGGCCTTTCTCTGCAGTGCCCGATTCCTGGTGTGTGAAAATAAATTAACACAAATTATATTGCCCAGTTAATATTTGTTTTATGTACCCCCAGCATGCATTGCACATCAAACAGTACCAGGAACTTTAAATATACCCATGGACAAAGAAATAATTCCTAACAATGCTTGCTGAATTTAGTTGCAATCAATAAAGTGCAGTTTGTGGATCCGCTGAGAATGTTGATATTGACTTAAGGCTTTGAATGACAAATGAGGACAAAAACTAAATAGGAAAGTAAAACTGAAGAATAGAGGCCAAGGTCATGTGCTAGAAAATGTAAAGAAAGAGAGAAATTGATGAGAGCCACAGGAATTACAGATGGCTGTAGGAAATCTTCCTGTTTTACTCTCAGTGCTTAGACCACAGCTTAGATCCAGAAATATTGAGCAGCAGGATGAGAGGACCAAGTTCAACTCTGTAGGAGTCCTTTAGCTGATAGGCTCAGAAGAAACCGCATCATCGATAGTCCTGCTTCCACTTCAAATAAGGAATATTGGTGCAATCCTTATGGCCACAAATGGACACTTGCCCATGTTTTCAGTTTGCAAGTGTTTCTTAAGAGGCAGGGTATTGAAAATACCCACGTGGGGTGCCCCATGTCCTTCCATTAGTATAGAGAAACCTGGTGTCCAGTGGCACCTGCTCCCTCTGCAAGCCCCGCCCCCTTCAGCAAGGGCAGTGACCCAGAGAAGAGGCACAGAAGACACAACCCTATTTGGTTTAATTGGTGCCATTGCCCAAGGGGAGGATGAAAGGCACACACTTTTTTTGTTTTTGGAGACAGAGTCTCACTCTGTCACCCAGGCTGCCATGCAATGGTGTGATCTCAACTCACTGCAACCTCTGCCCTCTGGGTTCAGCGATTCTCATGCCTCAGCCTCCCAAGTAGCTGGAATCACAGGCTTTGCACCACCACACCCAGCTAATTTTTTGTATTTTTAGTAGAGACGGGGTTTGACCATGTTGGCCAGGCTGGTCTCGAACTTCTGACCTCCAGTGATCTGCCCACCTTGGCCTCCCAAAGTGTTGGGATTACAGGCATGAGCCACCGTACCTGGCCAAGGCACACACTTTTGAGAATAAACACTCCTTGTTCGCTGCTGGAGAATAGAACTGTGCTTGACTTCCAGGCAGAGTCCTGTCTTCCTGACAAACAGCGGGCACATCTGCTCTGTCTTCTCAAACATGAGCTTCTTGCTTTCCATCAATCTGTACATCTTGAGGATGTCAGAAGTATTACAAGCTAAGTTTTTCACACCTATGTTCCACACTCATCATTTTTAGTAATAACCATTGAGCAAGTTCATTCTCACTCCTTCCTTTTTCTATCACTTAATCTGAAATTATCATTTTTCCAGCTTACTTTCAATAACCCATGAATCTGGTATTAGAGGTGAGGAACATCTCTTCAGGACCATCTTTTCTTTCATCATTTGGCTTGCTCACCCAATATGCAAAAACTTTGCCTATAGAAAATGCAGGAAAGAGATTACGAATGAAGCTCCTGTGTTTACTCACAGAGAAGACGACCCAGGATTCAGTTAACAAAGTCAGCTGATTATATCAAAGTATAGTCCTGAAGTCCCAACTCCTTGACCTTGACCTCAAGTTATCTGGAATTTCGGAGAGGTGATTTGTGTTCCTGCGACAGTGTCTCAGGGGAGGGCTGATGGGTTTCCTCTCCTCCTCTCAGCGAGCCAAGGGAGTTTGTGGAGAACTCTGAGTGCATCCAGTGCCACCCGGAATGCCTGCCCCAGGCCATGAACATCACCTGCACGGGACGGGTAAGAGCCCCTCACTGCTGTCCATGCCCACTTCACAGGAAGGGCTTTCACAGAAGCTGAACTGTGACAATGGCCCAGGACATCCTGTGTGGGCAGGACAGCCATCAGAGCCCCTTCCCAGAGGAGACAGCGGGCTCTGACCGTGCTGTCCAGGCCGGTGTCGGTGACATTAGCACACATCTGCCAGCAACGAGCATTCACTCTTTCTGCTGACACCTGAAGCCTCATCTAAGCTGATCAAATCCTCACATTTAATGGTGGCTGTTTTCACCTGGTTTCCCTATCCCTGACCTAGTCAGCATTGCATTACCACTTTCACCAAACATCCTGAAATTCTTTTTTTTTTTTTTTTTTTTTTTTTTGGGGATGGAGTTTCGCTCTTGTTACCCAGGCTGGAGTGCAATGGCGCGATCTCGGCTCACCGCAACCTCTGCCTCCTGGGTTCAGGCAATTCTCCTGCCTCAGTCTCCTGAGTAGCTGGGATTACAGGCACGCACCACTATGCACAGCTAATGTTTTGTATTTTTAGTAGAGACGGGGTTTCACCATGTTGACCAGGATGGTCTCGATCTCTTGACCTCGTGATCCACCCGCCTCGGCCTCCCAAAGTGCTGGGATTACAGGCTTGAGCCACCGCGCCCGGCCCCTGAAATTCTTAACACTAGTTTATAATTAATTGAAGAATTTTTAAAGAAATTCCTAGCAAAATTTTTTAAACTGCACAGTTTCATATCTATATGTTCAGTAACAATCTTGTAAAGAATGTGAGTGAGAATTCGGGCTCCTCTCACACCAAATGTCCCAAATCTGTTATTTCTCAGTATATTATATAGGGAGCTCTATTTTTATGTGAGCTTCAACAGCCAATTCTAAATCTACTAACTGAAAACATTTTTTAGACATTCTCTAAATTGGGCAGAAGATGACAGATCCGTGTTTTGAGGGGTAGGCTACCAGTGTGGCTGGTTACAAAGTATAGCCTTGATTTATAGGTTTACATGGTGTTGGGTTAAATTTCTGTCATTAAAATAATTGGTGATATTGACATAGTCATCTAGTTGTGCTGGCTGTGGGCACACACAGCCTTTGAGTGGACAAAACCAGCATTAGAGAACTTAGCCAAGGAGAAATCCCTTTCCCTGCTGGTTTTATTTCAGCTACTTCCGAGGTGTGGGGCACACAACCCGAGCGGTTCTTTTATTTGAGTCCAGATGCTTTTATTTGAGTTTTGCAAGGTTATTCCAAGTTTTGCAAACAGAATCAAAGGCAGCATATGACTCAGCCCTCGATACGCCCACCATTGCACGGAGACTTCCCACCTTCCTGTCCCTGGAGAAACACCCATGTAGGTTTTCTTAAATTTGCCTCCCTCTGAGCTTCCCTTTAACTTCAAATATAATATGCAAGAAAGACTCTCTGACCATAAATACACCTATGGGCCAATCAAGATGGTTGTGCCCAGGAAAGACGCCCACAATGTGTTAAGCAGAATGCGGTAATATATAGATTATCATTTCTTTTATACTGGTGTGTATTATATGCATTGAAAATCAGGGAGAACTTCTGCTAAGCAACCGACAGTGACCATATCAAGCAAGTGCAATCCCAGAAGAACTAGTTTTCTCCTTAAGAATTTTTCTAGGCCTAGCACGGTGGCTCTTGCCTGTAATCCCAGCACTTTGGGAGGCTGAGGCCGGCGGATCACAAGGTCAAGAGATCAAGACTATCATGGCAAACATGGTGAAACCACATCTCTACTAAAAGCAAAAATTAGCTGGGCGTGGTTGCGCGCGCCTGTAGTCCCAGCTGCTGAGAGGCTGAGGCAGGAGAATTGCTTGAACCCAGGAGGCGGAGGTTGCAGTGAGCCGAGATTGCGCCACTGCACTCCAGCCTAGTGCCTGGCGACAATCGAGACTCTGTCTCAAAATAATAATAATAATAATTTTTTTAAATAAGAATTTTTCTATTATTTGGCTTTCCCCACTCGCACACACTAAATATTTTAAGTAAAACGTTACTTCCGTTTTGAAAGAGAAAGAGATGTGCACGGACGTTTTTCTCCACCTTGGTGCAGGGGCCGGACAGCTGCATCCAGTGTGCCCACTACATCGACGGCCCCCACTGTGTCAAGACCTGCCCGGCAGGGGTCATGGGAGAAAACAACACCCTGGTCTGGAAGTACGCGGACGCCGGCCACGTGTGCCACCTGTGCCATTCAAACTGCACCTACGGGTGAGTGGAAAGGGCAGAACAGGACGTTTCCTCTCTCGCAGAGTCAGAGGCTGAAAATGTCTCCAAAGCTTCCAGGCAACACATTGCAGAGGTTTGCATTTGAGTCAGTTACTGAAGGCGTTTTGGCCCCGCGGCCCTGGCAGTGGCAGCTGCCTGCGGGCAGCCTCGGTGCCCTGGGAGTGACTCCGCCGCGCGGTGTGTCTCTTGCCGGCCGTGTTGGGCAATCCTGCACATCCAGACAGGTGGGCAGGGGCAGAAAGAGCGCAGGTCCCGGCAGCTGCAGCCTCGGCCTCTCTCCAGGGGTTTTTGCGTCTCTGTCCAGATTTCCGTGGTCAGTTGAGGATTAACTGTCTTGCAGTGAATAACAGGTAACATTGCCTGGAAGGTTGCTTTAAGACACTTTTTTAAAGCTAGTTGATTGTTAAGCTGTTGCTACTTCAGTTTAAACTACTTCATACCTGTAACCCCAGCACTTTGGGAGGCTGAAGCAGGCAGATCACTTGAGGTCAGGAGTTTGAGACCAGCCTGGCCAACATGGTGAAACCCCATCTCTACTAAAAATACAAAAATTAGCCAGGTGGTCCCAGCTACTCAGGAGGCTGAGGCAGGAGAATGGCTTGAACCCAGGAGGCAGAGGTTGCAGTGAGCCAAGGTCACGCTACTGCACTCCAGCCTGGGTGACAAGACGAAACTCTATCTCAAAAACAAAAACAGAAAAACTACTTCGACTAGAATTAGCAGAAGCGCTATGACTGTGTGTATCTTGTTTATTGGAATAATAAAGATGTCAGTGAATCAGGACCGTACCCAGCAATCAAAGAGGAGCTGAGCTGTCATATAGCAGTTCACACCTCCGTCTGTTTCTCAAAATCCAGCCTTATTTGTAACTGTTACTAATTCTTTCTTTGGATCCATCTGTATGAGTTGTGTGGCCTTGGGCAAGGGTCTTACCTTCTCTGTGCCTCACTTTCTTTTCTGTAAACTGGGATAATAAAGCTGCATAGCTCACAGGATTTGGATGGCATGCAGAAAAGGGACAGCATCAAGTTCCAATGTGTGTCCTGGGCCAAAATGCACAAACTGTGTCTTACAACATCACACCCCTGTGTAGGACCATGGTGAAATGTGTGAAAGATCAGTTTGGCTTTATTCACTATGAAGTTGGAAATAGCAAGAAGTTCAGGATGGAATTGAGCTACAGGCAGGCGATAAGGTAGAGCTCTCAGTGATTCTTTTTTTTTTAATTTTTTTTTTTTACTTTAGGTGCATACTATATCTGGCATTTCTCCTCATGTTATCCCTCCCCTCCCTCCCCACCCCCGACTGTCTCTCCCCTACCCCCTCAACTGCCCCCAGTGTGTGATGTTCCTCTCCCTGAGTCCATGTGTTCTCATTGTTCGACACCCACCTATGAGTGAGAACATACGAGCTCACAGGATTTTTATGAACATGAGTTAAGATATGTCGTGTACTTAAAATGGTACCTGAAATGTGGTGAATACTGAGTCCATGACAGTATTATTGATGATAGTGGTGATGGTGAGGAGGAGATGGGAGTAACAATGGTGTCAGAGGTGATGACTGTAGTGATGGTGAGGAGGTGGGAGTCACGGTGGTGGTGATGGTGGTGGTGGTGGTGAGGAGGTGGGAGTCACAGTGATGGTGATGGTGGTGATGGTGGTGAAGACGCGGGAGTCACAGTGGTGGTGGTGGTGGTGGTGGTGGTGGTGGTGAGGAGGTGGGAGTCACAGTGGTGGTGATGGTGGTGGTGGTGGTGGTG